TATATATATATATATATATATATATATATATATATATATATATGCATTACAATAATTTTGAATTTTAAATAAAATTAAAGATTACACTTTCATTTAAAATTTTTTATTAAACACATAATTAAAAGTTTTATTACAAAAATATTAATAGTACATTATTACTAATGAAATTAAATAGCACATTATTACTAATGAATATTTACATTAATTGTTGACATTATCGATTTCCTACTTGACCAGAGGCATGTTCAATCAGGGCTTTCTAGAGCAAACAATGAAATTGAAATTAATACGAAAATATCATATATAATTTTACTATTTTCAGACATATTACGTTTATTAATACATGTATATGCGTTATATATAATATGTTCGTATATTACGTGCCTTTATCACTGGGATAGCATTTGTCAATTGTAATCCCAAACTCCTAGCTAGTACAATAGGAGCTGCTGTTCCTTTATATAATCGATGCAGTGCATCAATAGCAAACATTATCGGAACATTGTATCGTTGCCTTAATGTTTCATATTTTCTTAAATATATCATATCTCCTAGAGGAGCTCCATTTATCACCGCTTCTGCAAGAAGTTGAACTAAGATTGTTACGTCTCCAAAACCTAGGTTTACACCTTGACCAGCTAATGGATGAACTCTATGTGCTGCATCACTGAAATATTTTGTATACATTAATATAAAATATGTAATTTTATTAAAATATATTTTAAACATAATTTAAATAAATTTTTAAAGTGTATTTTAAATATATAAATTTTTTATTTACCCTACTAAAACAGTTCCTGTTTGAACATAAGATACAGAGTGACCAAATTGTAAAGGAAAAGCTGCACGAGATCCTTCTACGATAGCTGATACTGATGGTTGTAATTGTTTTACTACGCCGGTTTGTAAAGATAAACCTTCAAGTAATTGTTGAAGTGCTCGCATACCACTTTCAACTATACCATCTTTTGGATAAACTTTCCATAAAGCATTATTTATACTATCAACAAATTCTTCTTCTGAAACTTTTAAAAGTCTTTTTGCTTCAGTTGTTGGTAACGACCATACAAGAGAACTAAGACAGTTTGTTAACTATAAAACCACAAAAAAATAAATTAGCAAAGTTTTTAAATTAATTTTAATTTGTTTATAACAACAAAAAATATTACTGGAAGTAGAGCTATTGGCCCTGCTGGTAAAAATCTTTGCCATGCAACAATATTTTCTGTAGGCTGAAATAAAAATAGAATTAGTTATATTCTGATTAATTCTAATTAATTCTGATTAGCACAAAGATTTTATGTTGTAATAATTTATGTTTTAAATTATAATAATATAATTTTTACCTCTGACAATTTAAGAGTAGCAACTATACCCATTTGATTGTAATCCCACTTCACATATTGTGTATCCATTATTTGTCGTACCAATGAATTTACACCATCTGCTCCAATCTAAAATATTACTGTCTAAAATATATTACTGTTAAAATATATATTACTCTTACATATATACTATTACATATATTGTTAGATTTTATTGTTTGATTTGAATATAATATATTACACTAATAAAAATATAATATAATATAATATATTATACTAATATAATATATTATACTAATTAAATTATATATATTATTATATAATTAAATTTGTAATATAAAGAGATAACATAAATGATATGGTAGGAAGAAGGTATATATGTATATACCAAAAAAAGAAAGAGAGAGAGAGAAACTGACAATATGTTTGGAAATAACTTCAATTCTATGCTGTATTTTAATAATAATCGTAAATATAATTTTATACAATATTTTATAAAGTATTTTATATTTCATTTTCTACAAAATTTGCCTTCAATATTATAGTATATTATATTATAGTATTTTTGTATATTTTAAATTATTTATCAGAAATTAATAGTTACATTTTATATTGAATTAAAAATAAATTAACAATTTAAGAAATTTTTAAAATATTAGTTTGATCTCTTGACTTGTATTAATGATGTGTATTAATGAGGAAACAATTCATAAGTACAATTTTTTCCTCAAAAGATATTGTTATCAATTGTATACAAAAATGTTATGAAAGTAAAGTTATAAGAAATTTTTATAAATTTTATATTCTATTTCTTATGTCTTGTGTTAATTTTAAGAAAAAGAATCTAATAACTCAAACTGTTATCTTGTTGCACATATACATATGTTAAGAAGTAGTCAGAGCTAAATATATGCCAGTTCTGTTTTATAAACATCAAAGAACATGTGTGGTGCTGTTTCAAACCATGGAAACTGAAAATAGTATTTAAGTGCTGGAAATTGAAGATATATAATATAATTTTGTAAGTGGTAAAAAAAGCAAATACATAATTAATATTATATCTTCTTAAATTATTGAGTTAACTAAAAAGAAAAAAGATATTCAAGATAATATGTCAATCTTAAAAAAAAAACCATTACTAAATAAATTTTTGAATAACCATAATTTTCAAGAAGAATTAAATGTTATGCCATTATCTTCTACTGCTAATAATTATATAGTAAGTATGGATTTTAACAACACAAATTTATATACTACTTATTATTTAAATACTATTTATTCAATAATCAACAACTCTAGGAAAATTGTGAAGATATTTGGATGAATGATATGGAAGAAAGTAGTATAAGTTCTGAGTATAGCTCTGAACCTGTTATATGTCATATAAAAGAGAGACAAATAACAAATCAACAGCCATGGAATACAGAGGAAATTATTTTGGCTTTATCTGATCTCCCAGCAGGAAAGCATGCACTTTCTATTATTTCTACACTGCATGGAGATATTTTGGACAAAGTTTTACATGAATTTCTAAACATTGATAATAACAAAGTGAAGAATATTCAAAAAACTCCTACACCTTCATTTGCAAATGGGTATACTAATTATTTATTTATAATAATAAAAATTATAATAAATATAATTCAAGCTTTATTTAATATAGATGCGTACAAAATACACTAATGAATATTGAAGATGAAGCAACTTTGAATACAACTGTACTACAACTTTTCATAAGATGGCCAAATACTTGTCTTCTAGTTTCCTGTTATCTAGGTTACGTAAATTTGGTCAAAGCTTTACTGAATAAAAATGCAAAAGTTTCAGCAAAAGATAGTGATGGCAGGTATGTAAAATGTTTTATTAATAAAAAAAAATGTTTTAAAATATGAATTCAATTTATAGGACACCATTACATTTGGCTGCTTGTACAGCTTCATTAACAATTTTGGAAGAATTACTAAAACATGGAGCAAATCCAAACGAATGGGACTTTAGTAAAAAATATACACCTTTACATTGTGCTGCTGCTACTGGAGATCTTGCATGTGTGAAATATTTAATAAAGTCAAAAGCAGATGTAAACGCTGAAATATATGGAAAAACTCCTGTTTACTATGCTGTACTAAGTAATGCAGCAGATTGTGTCAAAGCTTTATTAGAAGCAGGTGCTTCTCCTAATAATTCACAGGTTTCTATTCATAATTATTCAAATATTTCTAGTTATTTGTATATATCATTTAGATTTGAAAATTAAATAGGTTTACACAGAAACACCATTGCATGTAGCAGCTGGTTTGGGTTCTATTATATGCACAAAACTATTGTTAACTTATGGAGCTGATGTTAGATTTCAGTTTGGTCCTATGAAATCTACTCCATTGCATCTAGCAGCTGAGGAAGGTAGTGCTGAATGTACAAAATTGTTGTTAGAAGCTGGTGCAGCATGCGAAGCACAAAATGCAAGGGGGCAAACACCAATGCATTTAGCAGTTTTGTCTCAATCTATAGAAACATTAGATATACTTCTGAATATTGGAGCTAACGTTAATATCGAAGATAATGATGGTCGTACTCCATTACATGCTGCAGTTGCAAAATCTGCTAGAGGAATAGAGATGGTGAAAATTTTATTAAAGGTCCATTTACTCTTTGAGAACAATATATAAAATATATAACTGTGTAAAATTCTAACTATGCATAATTTCTTCATTTTAATAGGCTGGTACTTTAGTCAACAAGGCAGACAAATTTGGTTATACACCTTTACATATTGCAGCTTTAAATGAAAAATCATCAACAGTAATAACGCTACTATCAAAAGGAGCAGATCTTACTGCTAGAACAAAAGGTGGTATTTCTGCACTAAGCTTTATTGTGCGCAGAACTCCAGATGTATTACCACGATTTATTTCACGCTTGGATCAAGCAATTTCTTTACATGATCATGAATTAGGTGATGTTGATTGCGAATTAAGATTAGATTTTAGACCATTATTATCAGGTGGTAGAGGAGAAACAGATTTAATGCTATGCCTTGTGGAAGCTGGACAAAGACATGTATTGAAACATCCTTTGTGTGAAAGTTTTCTCTATTTAAAATGGTTAAGAATTCGCAAATTTTTTTTATTAAGTTTGATATTTCATTCCATATTTGTTGCATTTTTTACTGCATATATTGTAGTTGAAAAATTTAGAGGTGTACTTTTTTGGCCAGTACTAATATTTACTATCACACTAGCTAGTAAAGAATTTTTTCAAATGGCTCATGGTATATGTAGTTATATTAAAAGATGGGAGAATTGGCTTCAATGGAGCGTCGTATTACTATCAAGCATTGTGTTAAATATGCCAAAACAATATCATAGTTTGCAAGGTCATGGTTGGCAATGTCATATATCAGCTATAAGTATTCTATTAATTTGGATACTGTTAATGATGGTAATTGGGAAATTTCCAATGTTTGGCCTTTATATTCAAATGTTTACTCAAGTATCAATTAATTTCTTTAAATTTCTGGGTGCTTATATATTTCTCATAGTAGGGTTTTCTTTAGGTTTTAATGTATTACTTCAAAATGATTCATTTAATCATCCATTAATTGCTCTGTTGAAAGCTATTGTAATGATGTCTGGGGAATTAGAATTTGAAGACATATTCATTAGCACGCAATCACCAATTGAACATTCTGGTACTGCTCATTTAATGTTTCTAAGTTTTGTTATCTTAGTAACAATAATTTTAGCAAATTTAATGATGGGCCTTGCTGTATCAGATATACAAGAATTAAGAAGATGTGCAGGATTAGATGGATTAGTGCGTAGAGCAGAATTAGTAGCACATTTGGAACACATGTTATTTTCTAAACTTTTAGATCATGCACCAAATATAATAATGAAGATATGCAGACGAGGTGCACTTTTGTTACATCCACCACATTATTGTGCAATCTATATTCGTCCTAATGATCCCCGCGAAAAACGTTTACCACAAGAACTAATAAGAGCTATCTATTACTTAGTGATTGAAAAAAAACATAAGAATATAAGAATAAAAGGATCATCTATATACAATGCACATAATATAGAAATGGATATTTCTAGATTAAGTCGATTTTATAGCAGTACCTCTAATGATAATAATCAACAATTAAATGAATTAGCTGCTGAATTAAAAAGATGTTCTTTTAATATTACTACACGTTTGGATAAGTTAACTAGCAAAGTTGAAAGTCTTGTTAAAGATTGCACTAACTCAGTATAATATAATAGTGTATAAAACATTAATTTTATTACTATTTACTTACCAATAATTTAGCTTCATATTTCGTTCCATCTTGCAATTGTATTTCTGCATTTTCTTCTAACATTTTAGGTAATTTAATATTTGCAACTTTGGAGTTATAAATTACATTTACATTTTCTTTATCTATCAATTGCTTATTAACTGCATGTAGTAATAAGTCATTTTCGACTATATAAGCAATTTCTTCAGTTAAATAATCTTCATTAAATACAATCATAGCATCAGAGCATGCGTCCCAAACCTACTACAAATTTTATGTTTAATTGTAATATTTGTAAATGATACAACATAAATAATGATTATATAAAGATGTATTATAAACATTATAAAATATATAATGATACATTTTAGAATATTTGTTATTTTTATTTTAATACCTGCATTTTTCGTACTGTACAATAACGTGTTGCTTTAATATGTTGCCAAGCTCCTATGCTTGAAAGTAAGGTACGTGTTTGTTGATTTAAAGCAACTACACGATTGGAATATCTTTCTTCAAATTTATATTCAAATTGTCTACCACTTTCTATCAAAAGTATCTTCTTACATTCAAGTTTTCTATTGTTTGCTGTTACAAAACATAAAGGAACATTCATGAATCATGTCATTTATAAAATATTTGTATTAAATATTAAAAATATTATTACATATCATTTCAAAATAGGATAAAAAACTAACCTAATGCACAAGCAAGTGTGGTTCCAACCATACCACCACCAGTAATAATAATATCATAGTTTTTATGATTTTGAGCAGAGATAGAATAATCTCTTGTAACTAATATTGATCCATTAGGAATAAAACATTTATATCTTTTTAAAGCTATTGATAAAATATCACCATTTGCAACCATTTTGATGAAAGTCGCCATTTTTATTTTCTATTATATAGTAAACATATTTATATCACAAAATGAATTAAAATTAACAATAAAATGAATTATCAAGATATAAAATAAAAAATATATTGTATAAAATACAACAAATTTCACAAATTGTTTTTGATTTTACTTAATCTACAGAATTGTTTTATTTATGCAGTTGTTTCAATTGAATTATTTAAACTCTAAATTATTTAGATGTTTTACTTTAAACAGTGTTTCAGTATGTACTAATTTAAACTAAATCAATTAGTAATATTAGTAATATTGAACAAGTATTCGAATGTATATACATATATATGTACAATAAAAGTACTGTTTCATCGTAAATATTATATTGTTAATATGAATCTAGTAACAAACTCTTTCGAATATAACATATTGCTTGAAATGTATATGTATGAATTTATTGAAATTCAATTATAAATAAAACTTGTGTATACAATTCAGAACATATGTATGTAATTGAAATCTATGTAATTGTGATTATTAATACATTTGTACATGTTATAAATATTTCGTATTATTTCTATAAGTAATAAAATATTAATTTTTAGTTCAAATATTGATATCTTTAATTTTATTAATTTTTAATTAACTGCTGTAAAAAAATCTTTATTAATGTCTTATTTTATTCACCATGGTGATGAATACAACGAGGTTATATTGATCTTTTCCAGTTGTTTACATACGTATGTGTAGCAATTAGAATCTTATGTACCAAAGAGTTAAATTCAAATTTCAAGAAATTTGACAAATATATCGTATAATAAAAATAAATTAATGATATGTATAATTATATGTTCTGATTATTAAACCTATCTGTTAATAGTTTAGTACCTAATTTATATAAATTTATATAAACAAGTATTGTAAATTTTGATGAAATTTAAAGGTAAGTATTAATGTTATCTTGCATATAGAAATGATTTATAACAATTTAAACACAAAATATTTTAACAATTTACTTCATGAATCACATTAATCTATTGATTTAAATGTTATAATTAAAGTTAAAGAATAATAAAATTAAATTTTCAAGTTTAACTATTACAAAATTAAAATATGTTTTGTTTAATATCAGGAAAAAAAGTTAGTAAAAACATAGTCATATATTGAATAAAAATTTAAAATTTTAACTAATAATGATACAATAATATTATTTATTTGTTACAGACAATGGCAGAGCACAGGGGTACATCCTTTTATAATTCTTGTGTAAAAGTTCCAATAGATCCTTGTAGCAGACAACCAAATCCTTCTTATGAACGTATTGGATCTAAAAAAAGCAAGGAAGATAATTTTTATAACAAGTGTAAAATAAATTTTATGGAAAATGATCAACTTATTAAGGAATGTAAAATATCTGATCCTACACAAATTATGGATAACTTTTTAGAATTTTTGGATAGTATACCAGACTATGATCAAGTATATCATTTATCGAATGAGCAGTTTAAACAAGAAGTTGATCACTTGAAAAGAAAACAAAAACTATTACTGAAAAATTTAGAAAATTCATTGATTAATCATGAAAATGTAAATGTGTCTAAATTTTCAGTATCTAAGTGTAATCAAAAATCAAAGATTAAAAGTAAGAATGATATTAATGATTTGATATTAAATGGTAAAAAGTGTTACTTAGAAGAATCTCGAACTCCTAGTCCTTTACTTTTTCTTTCTAGTAAATTTGATGGATTATCAGAAGACCAGGATCTTTTGACAAATAGGTATACAATATAATTAGGTAGAAGTGAATTTCTTTTATTTTATTAAAGTTGTAATTATTATAATTTTTAAATGTAGTAAAAGCTACAAAGGAAATGGAACAATATGTAAGGAGAAGATATGCTTGAATGATGAAAACTGGTTAAACAGTAATGATAATATTGAAAGTGACATAGATAGTATAGAAACAAGAAGTTTGCCTGCTAATATTACAAAAGAATGGCATCCTACTGTTCCCAAACCATTTAGTTTTACCATACGGTAAGAAACTAAGAACTTTTTGATAGCAAATTAAACCGTCTTGATAGCTAATAATATGCTAATGTATATTTTAGAGAAGAAGCAATAAAAGAACAAAAATGTAAAAATTTAGAAAATAATAAAAAAAATTCGCGAAGGAAACGACGCGTGAGACCAATCCCACTGACATCAAAAATTCCACTTTATGACAAATTATTAGCTGAAAAAGAAGAAAGGTTTGTTTTTTTTTTATATTTTTTATATATTATTTTTCATTTTCATAAATATAAATTTACATTTTTATATAATAAATCTACAATTATCAGAAGTACTTATCTTGTAGGAGTCGTATAATTCGTGAAGAAAGCGCATTAAACCTAATGTCTCAGGTACGTCCTTTTAGGCTGGAATGTGATCGTCGAGCTTGGAGATTTTTAACAAGATCTAGTCCAGAAATTCGTAATAAAAGCGTTAACATGAATACAAATTTTAAGGCTAAACCAGTACCAAAAAATCTTTTCAGTACAGAAATATACGATCGTATGCTTGAAGACGAATATTATAGGTCAATATAATAATAATATACATAAACTTTTTTTTGTAATTGATTAATTAGAAGCTATTACAATTTTCAGACAATTACAAAAACAGTTAAGAGCCGTACAACTAATGAAATCTTCTTCTTTACCGCCGTCAATGGCTAGACGAGAACGCGTCAAATCTACGTGCATACGTTTACAGAATACAAATAAAAATTACAACGAAAACATCTATAAAAATGTTTCGCATCTGACAAATAATAATTTAATGCCATTAGAAAGATATAAATCTATGGTGCCTTTTTTACCAATACGAGGAAATAACTTAGCAGCAATCTTGAGATGTCAAGTGTCACGGTATGATATACAATATATAATAAGTATTATGTGTTTTTGATTTATATTATAACAAAAGAAAATGATTATTTTCACTTTTCATTCACTTTTATATTTATATCATAGAGAAAAATTAGAACGTGAGATAAGGGAAAAAATGGAAGAAAGACGTCGAGAACAAGCAGTAAAAATTAAACAATCTTTGATTGGCCGTAATCCAGTATGGCGAGCTTTGAGATGTTCAGCGAGGTGCGATTTTTTTTAAATAAGATCGTTATTTGACTATTCTTTTCAAGAAGATGTTATGTAATAATAAAGATTAAAAAATTACTCTTAATATTATAATGATTATATAAATTTTAATTATAAGGCATGAGCATGAGAGAGACCTTAATATTCGAACTTTACTTCGTCGCGATGAAGCACGTGAACAGGAGGAACGTCATCGACTGCAAATGGAAATGATGCTGGATCGTGTGGCACAAATACCAACTCTTTTTGAACGTCATTCTCAGGTGAATAAAACTTATTTTCTTTTAAGAGTTTAAGATAAATAAAATAATGAAGATCAATAAAGATTAATAATAACAACAACAACGACAATAATAATAATAATAATAATAATAATAATAACAACAACAACAACAACAACGATAATAAACATCAAGGAATTACTTATGAAAATATCTTTGTAGAGTTATCAGTCATTGATAGAAGGAAAACAGAATATTAATAAAAAAATGTTGCAGCAAAGGAAAAAGAAAAAACAACATAAACAAATATTAAATACTATAAGTTCATATATGAATTGCGAAAATATTTCTAGACCAGATTCTGGATCTTCAACTAGTTCTTCGTGTACTTCCTTATCAGCTAGTCAGTCTTTAAATTCATCAAATACATCTATATCACAATCATCTGGAATGTCGATAACGAAATCTCAAACTTCTCTTTCAAAAAAGAAAGGTGATCGTAGCCAATTAAAAGTTTCTATAAACGAGACTGCAGAGCTGATTGAAGATCAAAACAAAAGCAACAAATTCTGTAACAATGAATGTTTGATCTCTAACAATGATCGCAATGAAAATTCTTCATAAAGTAACAAATATAATGAAAAAATGTTTGCTAAGAAATTTGACAATTATTAGTTCAGTTCAATCGTAATGGAATAGTGATTAAAAATGTTAAAGTAATTATAAAAATTTTATTTATGAAAGAAACATATAAGATTTTCTTTTTTAAATTTGTACTTCTTCACTATATGAATATAAATAAAAAATTTATAAGAATTTGTTTTAACGAATTTATAAAAAATGAATTAAAATGATACAAGTTATCCAATGCAAATAATATAGATTCATGTATAATCTTACTAATATTTATAGTAGCAAAGATTTTTTAAATAAAATTGACAATAATAATATTAAATTAATTTATTCATTGATTGTGTTTAAGAAATGTCTTAATTCTAAAAATATCATTTGTACATGCTATTTTAAGCCCTAATAGTATCTAAAATCCAGTCTAGGTAATACACAATTTTAGTATAAACTCCAGGTAATCCTTCAGTACCGCAACTGTTCGGCCCATAACTGACAATTCCATGTTGAACGTATTTTACGCTATTGTAGTGTGTGTTAATGTTATACATTCCTGGAGCTTGAAGCGGTCCACCGCTATCTCCAGAACATGAATCAGTACCCATTTTTCCACCCGCGCACATTTGCTTGTACCAAATTTCCTGTCTTTTATATATTTTTGCGCATTCATCTATATTCACTGGTAATAATTGAACCTGTAGTAAATCTGAACTGCGTGGTAGCAATTCAGTTGAACCCCAACCTGTTACTATTACCTATACCATAAAACATAAGTACTGATAACATATATGATTAAAAAGTAACTTGAAAAAATGCTCGTATTTAACTAGAATATTTACTTTTTTTTGAATAAATTTAGCTGCCGATCCAATTGGCATGCAAATCGGTCGCACATTTTGTGGTCTAAAATCAGCGTCCCTGTTCAATCGCAGCAAAGCAATGTCATTTTTAAATTTCGATGATGAAAATTCTGGATGAAAGTGTACATCTTCTATATCGATATCTTGATATTTCTCAGCACAAACAACTTCAAGACCGTCAGCGTCTCTATCACAATCGCGTTCGGTACTTAAATCATGCTCTCCTAGCCGTACTCTGATTAATTTCAACGCTAAAATATTATTTCAAAATGAATAAAAATTAATTTTATTGCATGATCTTACGATCCAAATGAATTCGATGTACAATAATTGACTTACTAGATGGTAGCTCTGTAACGCAATGAGCAGCAGTGAGCACATATCGTTTGTTAATTAACGATCCTCCACATCGGAATTCTGTACCTTGACCGGTGACATTGTAAGAGAGTAATGCCATCCATGGGAAATCAAATATGCCGGTTTTATTACCCCCAAAAATTTTCATCTGCGATATTGGTCCACATATTTCATGATTCAGTAATTTTAAATTCGGATGATTCGTGACGTCTGCAGGTTCGGAAGTAGATTGATTCGATTTTTCTGTGGTTTGAGTTATTGCCCAACTCTGCGAAAATTGTTGGATTTCATCGTTACACGTTTCATTCTAAGTTTTCATAACATGGAATATATTTAATAATGAATATAATAATGTTTACCTGTTCGCAACAAACTTTCGGATTGGAACCCTCATATCCGCAATTCAAACTGTGTAAGTAATTAATGATTTCATTCGACAATGGTCTGTGTTTTTTAAGAGTTTCTACCAGTGGTTCACAATTGTGTATATTGATACAAATACCATTTGTATTTCGTGGAGTGGTACATTTGTCTTCTGTAAAAAGAATCGTTCGTAAGTGGATTATTCGAATTACATGAAATTAAGTTCGAAGTAGATTTCTTAGTGCTACTACGAAAGAAAAAATGTCGCGAGTTATTAGTATTAGTATTTAGAATTTCGTGAGCGTACTTTTGTATTTCGTAAGCGTACTTGTGCATAATCATGAATAAAAGGAATGAATAAAATATTACGCACGTGATCTTCTACTTTTTCAATGATAAATTTTTTTTTTTTTGTTTTTTTGCAATAACTATATGATATATATTAATTTTCATTTAACAAAATTGAAAAACAAGAATATTTTGAATGAAAGTGTTCCCATACAGAAATCCTGATATTTCAGTCAACGTAAATAATAACTTAGAGAGCGTCGGCATCTATCAGTCACATTCGGATATTAAATTTGTAATATTATTACATTTGATAGTAATTAGTAAACATAGTTAGGTATTATTGTTATAGTAACTAGTAAAGTAAATATTTAAAAAATCTCACTCACGTGCGGTGACTTCGCATAGGATCACAAACCCGATTAAAATTAAATGGTAAATCATGGTCGATTCCGAAATCTATTGTCAAAGTTCTTTTCCACTTGAAACAATGATACACAGTATTTTAACATTCACATAATATGTCACATTAAAAAATTCTCAATTAATTCCTTGTTCTATTTGTTCCTATCTAAAGCAAGAAAACGTGATGTTTTAAATCAGAAATGAAACAGACAAAGCCAGTTTCGAAAAGTGTTTACTTCTTACTTTTGCGAACAATGTATTAATGCGAGAGTCCTCAGTGTATTAACTGCTGCCATCTGCTGAGTCTGATGTCTTTCAATTGCAAAAAGAACAAAGAGAGGAATTACGAGGAAAATTCTTTCAACTAGTAATAAGAATTACGATAAATATTTGTTTTATTAGATAATCGATGTTTTAAGTGATTATGTTGCAGTATCGCAGGAACTGCTCATTTAATAGGCATGAAAATAAAAATCTTTTTTTCCGCTTTGTATAGTGCGAAATTTTTATTTCTACGAACAAGTTTCCGTATTCTGTCTTTGTTAATTGATTTATTAAGATAACTGCGGGATTCCCAATTCCAAGATCGAATGTATTTTACGTCATATGAGAAACGATAAGTTTCGTAGTAAACGAATCATGTTTCTGATGAATTTTTTAAGCATTTTGTTTATTAAGACAAAATAAATAATAAGTGTCACGCACATCTTGCAAGATATTTTTCATGACCTATAAAATAGATAACCTTTGAAATGATAAGGAAAATTGATTTTCTTCATTGAATGAAGGATATTATATTTTTTCATTAGTTAAACTATATATAATATACATACATATATCTTTTGATTGGCTTTCCTTTTATTTTTGCGCATATGTACATATATATTGAAATTCGTGGAATTGGAGAATAATTTGAATATAGATATTAAAATCTCATTTTATCGAGTATCCAGGGTACAAAATCGATCACTCTGGAATAAACGCCAGGCACTCCAAGCATACCGCAAGGTAATGGTCCAAAGGAAACAACACCAACGACAGTCCATTTACCAAAACCGTTGCGATTTCTTTCCATAGTCATTAAAGGCCCACCTGAATCTCCTTTGCACGAATCTTTGTCCTTTTGTCCACCGGCACAAATTTGTCCATGACCCAGCGTCACTCCTGCGTTTCCGTAAGTTTTTTGGCACTGTTCCTTGTCAAAGAGAGGTAACACAAGTTTTAGTTTTACGTTTGACGACGAACCATTTTCTGTCTTTCCCCAACCAGCAACAAATAGTTTTTGACCGAAGGAGGCAGTCGATGGTAGACAAATAGGTTTTATATAAGTGGTGAATGTAACGTCACGGGATAATCTTAGAAGAGCGATATCATATTTTTGATCTCTTGAGCGTGGTCGATAATTTTCATGGGCTATTTGTTCTTCGATTTCAACCGTCACGGGATCATCCGCGCAAATTACGCTGCGCTCGTCGTCCGTAACACAGTCGCGATCACTGCTAGTATTATATTCACCTAAACGAACACTTGACAGTTGCCATGTTTTTGGTAAATCTTTGCCTTTGATACAGTGAGCTGCCGTTAGAACGTAACGCCGACTAATAAGAACTCCACCACAAGCTGTATGTTTTCCATTCACTGAAAAATGTAATTTTATATTAATTATTTTCCACGTTTACTAATCCAATGCAACAATCCTTTTTGTTTTTTCACTTCATACATGTAAGGTATTCCAAAAGCACCATCCAAGGAAATTCGTCGAGATCTGTGATTTCTCCACCATAGATCCTTTGGGATAAATCTTTGCCGCAATTGGTAGGAAGCAAAGGATTGTTGGAAAAGTCGTATTGTACATTTTCATCGTTGGTAATATTTTCAATATTTGGACTTGGTCTGAAATCATTTATAGGAGAAGACTCATCGTCGCGAAGTGACGTACGTCGAATCGGACAACAGACTCGGGGATTAACATCATCGAAATCACATTGCATTTGTCTCAGTAAATCTACAGTTTCTGGTTTAAGGGGTCGCGTTTGAAGAAGATTCAGCAATTCTGGACATTGACGTATTCCAATGCACTGGCCAGGTTTACCGTAAAGTGATGCACAATTTGTTGGTCCTTGATTTTCTAAGAGAAAAAAATTTGCCTTTAGAAGATAAGATAATTTGTATTAATAGTTTATGGTTGCAATAGATCGACCATGAAAATTCTCGTAAATTGATTTTATTCGTTGTATCCATTAAAATCAAAACGCAATGACAGTTTATTTTGTAATTTTGTAATGTCGCGTTAATCAAGGAAACATCGACCAATTATGAGTATACAATCTGTGATCGTCATTCTTTATTGTCCAGTTTGTCATTTACAATTGTCAGCCACCATAGAAATTATTGTTGCAAAATATTGAAGAAACAAAAGTGTTTATAAAATTTGAAAAGTTAGTTAATGACTTACGAGAGTTTGCAATAAGTATCATCATTTGCAAAATTTGCAAAATACTAAAAACAAATAACTTAGTCATTTTTACGCATAAAACAACAATGAGAAAAGGCAAAGTATTAATTTTCACTTATAATTTCTGAACTATTGTGATTTCGATGTTTATTTCACGATCATTTAAATAGAATGACATCCATCACACTCGAGATTGGAATACCGACTATCACCTAATGCTATCGTGGATGGAGTGACCGGCATCAGGGTCAACTGGTTCCCCCACTAGTTTTCTATACATATACTACATTACGTGATTAGCTAATTATTTTTTATTTTAAAATCTTTTATGTTTTTTTAAACTTTAAATGATTAAAAATGTTTTTTTTTGCAATTTATAAACGATTGAAGTCAAATCAAATTCAAGTTCTCAAAAATAAATTTTGTATCTTTTTGAAAAAATATCGCGAAAAGGAATTAGTCAAATATATATTGATATTTAATACTGAATATTTTATACATACATATGATTGTATGTATATTTATATACAATAAATGAGTATTTTTGAAACAATGTATAAATCGCATGTAAATACATATTATAAGCGTTATTACGTCTATGTTTTTTTTTTTTAAGTAAAAGAATAATTATTAATAAAATATACTAAACATTAAGTGCTTGAAACATATTTCTTTCTTTTTTGAAACGGTTTGTATTGAACAAAAGAATATCAGTTTCGATATTCTTTAGTTTTGTGTGTACATAAAATTTTGAAACTTATACACTTATGATGTAATAAAATGTATAAAATTTGAAACGAAAAAATTAAAAATGATTGTAAAACATAATATTTGCTCATCATCATTACCTATGTTAACAGATACAGCATACATTAAAAAAGAGAAAGAAAAAAGTAAAAAAGTGAGATTTATTTATAAAATATCTAATTTTTTATGTTAGATACATTTTATTCATAAGAATAATTTTACAATTTTATTAGATAATTTTGCTAGATAATAATTATATATTTTCAGCATATTTCAAATAAGAGATGTAACTCTTCCTATTATATTTGTCTGGGTGCTCTAATAGACATAATACGCATACAAATTGAAAACAAATATAACAAAGATAATTATTTATATTTAATTGGATCGAAATACACAAAAGATCTTTATACATGGCTGCAACATTACAAGTACAAAGAGTTATTTTTAAAATCATTTATTACATCAGTAGCTTTATTTGCAATAGGAGTAAAACTTGCTAATGAATTAGTTGCATGGAGAATATTTTAATGTATTGTAAAGAAGAATATCAACAAAATTATTTCATATCGATTCATTTTAAATATGTATTAAGATTATATTTGTACAATATAACATTTAAAATATATTAATTAATTTTATACTTATATTTTAAAGTTCTCTTTTGCATCATATATGTTGATACATATCATATTTTTTGATGTGTGCATAAGATTAGTGTTAAATGAATTTTATTCAACACATATTGTGAAATAAAATTAATATAATTTAAAAAATCCTATATATTTATTGTAAGTCATAAAATGCTCAAGGTCTAGATAAACCTCTTAAATTAAATTAAATTGAATTAAATTTTTTAATTTTATTACATAAACATATGATTAATGTTCAATATTTAAGAAATGAATGATTTAATTTCATCAGTTTATTTATGACAAGAAGAATATCATATAAATAGCAATAGTTATTAAACTTAAACTCCTAATTATTAAACTTAAAATATGGTTGCTATGCAATATACACATAGTTGCTAAACAGATCTTACAAAATCTAACCATATGAATTACAATTATGCAACTTTACAATTCATTAGTTAATTTATAAAATGTTCAGTTATATTTAATTTGCTATTTACTATTTTTATTACTTTTTATCTCTGAATCTTTATCATCTTCATCACTTTCATCAGAACTATCCAGTTCATCTGAATCAATATCAAGATCTAATAAAATTTTCTTTTTATTCGATTCATCTTTTGTATCATATTTTCTTTTTATTCCAGAAGTGGCAATTTTAAAACCTTCTTCAACTGCATCTCCAACTCGTTCTGTAAGAACCGATCTTTCGTGTTCGTAGATTTGATCTTTAAACTCATGTTTAGGTTCGGTGCAAAGTCTTTCTAATTTTTTCTTTTTACGTTCCGCCGCTTCTTCTTCTCGTTTTCCTTGTTTCTCGATCCAAGCCTTTAATCTTTTTTCTTCATTAATATCACGAAGTCTACGTCCACTTAAATCTCTACAAGCTTCGCGATTCGTAGTTTTTTCAATTTGTGCTCCAATCGCTCGTAGCATGGAACCAAATCCTCCTTTTCCACCAAACAATCGCGGTATAATAGAAACATATCCATCATAGCAAGTGACATTTTCATCCACGAGTTTTCCATTATGTACGATATAAAAGTTTTCCTGCAACAAATTTTATGAATTATCATTGACATTTCCTTCCCGCAAACAAATTGAATCAAACAATTGTGCTATATACATACTGTTAATCCTTTAATTCGATCGTGTAATTCATAAATTTTAAGAGGTGTATTAACAGCAAGAATCTGTTTTATTCCAGAAGCAGTACTTATTTGTATATTTAACATATTTATTTCGATTTATTAAAACACTATAACCTTACGTAAAACGTCAACTAATGTTTAATGAAAAGTAACGCATGACCATGAAACAAGTAGTAATGTAGAATATAGATGCACTCAGAGTTCAGGTATTTTCAATATAGCGCCTCCTAGTAGCAAAATAATGAAAATATTGTTTACATACGCAATCATATCATAGATATACGGTAATTGTTATATGATCTTGAAAATAGCAACTATTGAATAAAATTAAAAGATATTTTTATGATGGATAATATATTCTTAAAGCTTTATACAATGCATAGGAACATTATTATTACATAACTTTCCCTGTTAGAAAATTTTTAAAATTAAAAAATAAATTAAACGAATTAACTTTAATCTGCTTGTGAAATGGGTGATCCACGGTCACGTTTGGAACCTTTGCCTTTGCCTTTTGATTTCGTTTCCCGTTTTCTACTTATCGAAGATGTTGACGTGGTTGATTTCGAATCCGCTGGGCTTGAATGACTTGATCCTTCACGATCCCAACGCGCTAATGCTTCTCTTAAATTCTGCCCATCTCCCTCTTCATAGGTGTCCACATCTACATGAAGATTATCTTGATTAGGTTGTATATTGTTTCCAGATTCCAAATTTGCTCTCATTTCTTTCCTTTGATCCTCTGTGTGTTGTGGACATCGCATTGATCTTGTACACAATTTCTTTGTATGCTCTGATATTACTCCACAGATCTGTGTTAGTAAAATCCGTTTATCTTCCAAGGACATATTTTCATAATTCGATGGGGAATTCTCATTGCTGCTATGAATATGTTCATTTACAGTTTCACCATTCTTTTGACTATTCTTTTGTTGTTTTGTTCTTTTCATACCATTACGATCTTTCCTGCGTTTACGCCTACCATTATTTAAACTCCAATCAACATCATTGTCATTGTCACTGAAGTTGCCAAGATCTTTTGAATTATTTGCTATACGTCTTGATGCAACTCGTGAACTGTTTCTTCCCATGCCCATACATTTCTCTAAATGGGTTGCAAAACGAAATGCTGAAACTCCTCTGTCACAATTCGGACAATTACAATCTTGAAATTTTTTGATAGCATCATGACCAAACACGTCCAATCCTGGAGAATCTTTAAGAATAATTTTATAATTATATGGATTAAGTAAAAATAATGATTTAAAATAGTTATTTTAATATACTTTGTAAAAGTATTTGCAAAAATATGTAATATACACATTTTGTTAGTAAATAAACATAACCTGATTATTAAATTTTAATTGTTGATATTTTTAATAATACTTTCATTGTCATTTCACTTACCTACTATAGCATATGATTCGTCATCAGGTATGCCTTCTTCAACGTCAGAACTACCAGTCTTTGTAGTTCGATGTACGTCGAAAACAAATCCCATCAATACCTCATCGAGGAGATCATCGTAAATTTCTTTAGTTGCTGCTTCTACATTCTCACTTTTGCTCATAAATTCCAGAAATCGTCTGTTTAGTTCTTGAATTTTCTCTTCAGTCACGGACATTTTAAACGTCAAGTGATCATACAATGCAATCTTGTTCTGTTTACAGTACTAGGCTGACAGCTTCGCTTCTTAACATGGGTATTTTTCAATTTTCATTTGAAATACATTAATTAAATTGAAAAGCTTCGAGTAAAATACAACGGTTGCTTTATTATCACTAACGATATGCGTATTCTTTCGATAAAGAAATTATTTTTTAACGCGTGAACGATTTACGAAAATTTATATCAGTATCTGAATTGCAACTGTAACTAACTTATATATACACTGTCTACGTGACAACCGAAAGTCTATCACATAGACGATGTATATAAGTAGACACTGCATCTTATGGAATTTTGTGTCCCATACTCTGAAATACCGACATAGTAAAAAAATCAGCGCACCCTATGCTTAAACCATCAACGAAGTACATGAATAGACCAAGCATCTTACGGACTTTCGTGACCTGAAATACCGACGTAGTAAAGAGTCACTGGTTTTTTAGCGCACTCTATGTTTAAACAACGGTGAGTTGGGGAACTAGTGAATCCGCCAATAATATGAATTTGAGATCCATTACAATGTTGTTAACTTTCAATACCGAAATGTAAAGCTCGTCTGTGACTATATCAAGTAAAATGATACAAATAAAATGTTTAGTTGTATTTACAGATTCCAAAATACGAGATTAGTATCTAAAATTATTCCATTTTTTATTATGTATTTATGTCTGTCTCGGAAAGCGCTCTATTCGTGTTTTACGAATTCATTGATTGGTTTTTTGTTGGAAACGATAAAATTAATACTTGATGTTTTATTTATTGAAATATACTTAGGAACGAAATATATTTAGGATATTTAATCAGAAAGGAGACACAGAATAGTTATATTGCATTTTATCAAATCATATGTTTTGAAATATCCATCAAAACCCAAAGTCTAAGGTCTTCTATATAAATAAATAATTTAAAGGAACATTTTCTTAAATAAATTTTACGATATTTTTATTATTTATGAACTATTTATATGAATTATAATTTGTTTTAATTGGAAATTCCTATATAATAATATTATGCTAATAATATATATAGTTGGGTAAAATAAGGCTTAAACTTTTATAAGTAAAAACAAAAGGAAATTATGTACATACATTTCATCAATCAAACTAAGAAAAATTAAGAGCATAATATAATTTATATTTATATTCTGACAATTATTCAAATTATTATAATATTATTCAATGTTATAATATTCCAACTAATCATTATTCCAACAGAGTTTCACGATAATGTATTTAAGAATAAACGTACATATATTTATATATTATTGAAGTATAAAATTTTACAATATTTATATTAGGATCAAATGATTATACGATATTTTATTTTACATTTCATTTTATTATTTCATATTAAAATTTCATTTCAATTCAAATCACTCTTATAATCTTACTATACGCTAAGAATACTTTTATATATTTTCGTCTAGCTCAAATTTGATCCCAATTATTTTTTCAAATTTCCAAATTTCTGATTTAACAATATAATAGAAGAATACAAGAAAACGTAATTGTTAAATATTAGAAACGTAATTGTAATAATATTGCATTGTAAATTTGTTATGATTACTGTAATAATTAGATGTATAAATGAAAATTTTAAAAAGTTATGCAAGTATTTTATTGTTCATATTTTTGACGATGTGTTACAATGGTACTATAACAATTAGATGTATAAGTGAAAGTGTTAAAAACTTCAAAAATATTTAATTATAAATATTAATAGTATTAATTAGTTTTAATAATATTATACATATCGACTGCTATATGTATATATACATATATATATATATCTATATATGTATATATAGAAGAATAAACGTACTTTTAATAGCTTACCTTTGGTTATTACTAGTTCTAGTGACGCGAACAGATTTCGTCCCATTTCTATAAGATATATAGCCGTCCTCTTTTGGCAGACTACAAAAATAACTATTATTGCCACTTCCTTTTAGTTCTAAACTCGAGATTTCTTTTCAACAGATTCAAAAGTTATGAAAGTAACTTGAAAAAAATTTTTTTTTTTATTTCAACATTAAAACGATTAAACTTTAGCAAACTTTACCACTGTAAGAGTTACTTGTATTTTTAGAGAATTATTTTTCTATTTTTATTAGCATAGATCCGAATGATGGAATCTAGAACACGTCATAAAGAGAGACAAGTTGTTTTTTTGTAATAAAGAATTAGGATTTGATCCAACTGTAGAACTTAGCGCAAATCATTGGCAAATTGCCAATAATATCTGTGATGTAATATTAGAATAATCGCAGATAACGTCTATTGTTAAATAAATAAACATGACATTGGATTTCAATTCCGTTCAAAGACGTTCTTATAAAATTTACGTATTGATAAATTCTCAGCAGATATTACTATAATTTTTTTGTGTAATTTATGTCATCATGTGTCATTCAAAAGAGCAAGATTCTACTTTACGTAAAAGTTTATTTTTTCAGTGATGAATAGACAACGGATTTTTATGTTAAAAAGTTGGGATCTAAATAGAAATTTCTATTATTTAATATAAAGTATTTATAGATAGTGTCTTGCATAATATGGATAAATGATTAGGGGATGATTCTGTATGCAAAAATGAGTTCTTCAAGAAGAACAAAATTTTTTCCATCTAAGACTTGGTTTTCGAGAAAATTAAATTTGAAAATTGATCGACTATACTTTAATTGAATTAATTCTGGACTGGTCAAAAAATAAATAATGAACAAAAGCTTATTCTGTCTACGAAAAGAAGTCAAAATATGTACATATACATATACCTATTAATATATATTCAAACTCGAATTTTCTTCTTTTTGTATATAGAATCCAGTTAGTTATTCAGAATATAAAAGACACTTTGTACGATGAATTTGTAATGAATACTTTATTTTGAATATTTTATATATTATATACATTGCATGGATTCTTGCACCCCCCAATTTCCCACGACACACGTAAAAGTCTGCAGTCTACCAATTGACACTTAAATGTATGAAACTTATATTATATCTGATAAAAATTGGGATCTATTTTTCATCAAAGCGTATTATCAAGTTTATCGACAAACGAGTGAAAAATCTCGCACGAGAAGGGAGGGAGGAAGAAAGTGAAAAGAAAAAGAAGAACCACGGAGGAGGAGACCGAAAGGGGGTTGTCAAGTTGCAACCTTAACACAATTCTATTTTTTTCGATGCATCAGGCCGTGTGCCGAAAATGACGCAATCGAAGTGGTGACCGCGAGACATCGCAAGAGACGACGCATGTACACCTAAAATTCGCTCTCTCTCGTCTCTATACTGAAGGAAAAGAGACTGAGAAGAAGAAAAAAGACGGAGCAAAGTGGGGTGGAACCGATGGTAGTAGAAGTCGAAGAGGAGTCTCGCCCAACGAGTAGAATCGTACGAACCTTCATCGTGGCCGCAGTGGCGGATCTTTCACTCTGGTGCGCACGTTAACAAATATCACGACAAGACAGCCAGCCGATTACGTGCGACGTAAATTCGTTTGTCGAATTAAACGAGAGTTTCAACGAGAGACAGATACATACGTAGCACTGACGAACGAGCCGAATTTTTAACCGAAAAGGAAAAAAAAACGAACTGAAAGAGGGAACAAAAATGGTTTACGAGAGCGACTTCTACACAACTCGACGACCCTACTCACGGCCTCTCGTTTCGTCCTACAGCATCACGGTCAGTATATGTATATGGGATTGCTGAAAGAGCGGGATGAAGTATGTCTTAATAATGTTTTGCTGGATGGCACTAACGTCGAATAAGAGCGTCGAGTGTAACACAGAAACACTTTTTTAACCGAGCCACCCTTGTTCGGACTTTGCTCGATCCGGAGTCGACGTTTCGCTTTCCCTGGTAAAATTTTCGTCAAGCTTCTTGAAAAGTGACGGCCAAAGGAAAATAAAACCGGAAAAAGAGCGCTGTCATTCGATAAAATCGAACCGTAATTGAAATGATAATGTAATTGTACGTATTCTAAAATAAACGAATGTTTCATACAAAAGAAATGTTCGATGGAAATTTTATTCATACACGTATAAATATCGAAAATATGACTTCCAACTTTCTTTTCCTATTATCTATTATCTAGCGCCATTGTCTAGCGTGGTATTTTACCTCAATTATACGATTAATTTATACCTTATCAAATTATACTTTATCTTATTTATGATTTTAATAACACAATAAATTGAGTATTAAGTGGCGAAACATCGGCTCCCCGGCGATCGAAACAACGACACTCCTTGATTACCTCGTTCGTTAACGAAATCGATCAACGACAGGTACGATAATCGTGCTGAGCAAATTTATCGTTTATCGCTGTCGCCAGATCGAATTCGATGCATTTCGAAGTCTCTACTTCCACACTGTATTCCGATCACTATTACTACTTGTTGCTACCATTGTTGTCATTGTTGTTACCGTTTAATAGCAATCTTTCGAACCTCGAAACCATGCACTCGGTGTCTCCACACAAGTCGAATAAATAATCTCGTAAAACGAATCAATTACACGATCTGTCAGCGATCTTACTGTTGGTACAACCTATATACATCCAATTAACGTGCAAACTTGACAATACGAATCAAGTGAGCATCGAGTAATACCAGTTAAGAGAGTTAAACGTGTAACTGCACGGCAATAACTTCCAGTTTACGGAATTAATTTGTACCATGCAGCGTATAAGCTCTGGCACGAGTTTACCCGATTTTCACTGACGAAGAACAAGAAAACGGTACTTCTTGAATGATTTGTTTTCAAGGATACCCACGTTGTGCTCAGTTTGTTTCAGTCTGTTTTATATGTTATGTGTTACACCCTAAAGTAACCAGGGTTTTTATCGGTTCTATGTATCAACGTGTATTTCTTTATTGTTTCATGTGCCTGTTTGTGTCAATTCTTGTCAATGTTATAAATCTACATGAGAAATATGTATTTTTCTTGACTTGAAATGGAACTTACTTACGGAAGAGACGAACAATCAGAGTCACAGGGAAACTTTTACTTATCAGATAGCTACTAATCCGAGAAATACGGCCGAGACAAATAATAAACCTTCAGTCTTAATTACACAGTTATTGTTGATAGACACTTAGACGGAGATTGATAGATTACGATGGTTATTTCTGTTCTGAAATGGAAAAAACTTAAAATTCATACAAGTATATTTAGCGAGCAGAGAGAAATGAGAGAGGAGCCTAGATCGATAATCACCACGCTACGCCAGTTATTTTTGTTCTGAGTGAAAAATTGAACATTGATACGAGCTATTTCCGAGCAGGGGCGATTAGAGAGAAGTCTAGATCGAGGCTGATAATTACTGAGTTGCACCAATTATATCCATCTCGAGATGAAAAATTGGATATTGATGTAAGCGATTTGCGATTAGCAGGGAAATTAGAGAAAAGCCTATTCATAGCGACGCAGCCATTTTCCGGGACTCCGTCGCGTTAAACTTAGATGCCGTACGACCCGGCAAATTTTGGATCCGTGAACAGGAAAGCGTATTTGGACTGGCGAGTCTCCTATATAACAGAAACCAATCTATACTTGAGTACGAGTTGAAAATATCGTTGAATAAATATCAACCTTGACTGAATAAGTGAGAGAACCGGAGGTTAAACAAGAGAAATCATTTACCGAGGAAAATTAGTGAAATTTTCCGTGACAACGTATAGCGATTAAGTATCTGCTTCGACAGTTTGGATCATTGGACTGATTCATTGTTGATCATGCATCAATGGTACCGTTAAAAGCTGACCTAAATAACTTCGCTCCTCGGTAATTCTAACTATGTTCGAGAGATCTTCACCGAGGCCTTTAACTCGAGCATCTCGAACGATTTCAATGACAAAGAGGTTGGTGAAACGACACAGCCGCCACTGAGGAAACATGTTTCGGTGGTTGAAGATGTTATTGAGGATACTTTTCGTCTTTCTTCGTTTCAGTAGAGGGGATCTGTGAGCATCGGTGTTGCGTTACTCTGCCCTAATTTAGACTCACCACATACCAGCCACGTTCGCTCCCACCACGAAACATAAAATTCGTCACGGAAATTCATACGTGATTTCTGCTGCTGGCCACATTTGCCCTGCAATCTCTGCTATCATTCGTTCTCTCTCACTGTTTCGCGATTATTGCCTTGAAATACTTGGAATCGGTACTGTTGCGTTACTTACGTTAATATCGAATGTCATTGCAACCTAATAAAATAAAAGGAGAAAG